CTCGGGCTAGAAGAACAAGCCAAAGGAAATCAACACCTTTGAAATCGACACCTTTGAAATCGACACCTTTGAAATCAACATCTTCGAAATCGACACCTTTGAAATCAACATCTGTGAAACCGAAGGCTTCGCAAAAAACTGCAGCATCTCACAAGGACGTATTCAAAGAAGAGAAGGATGTTAAAAAGGATGTTAAAGATACGAAGGAGGTTAAGAAAGAGTTGAGAGAACCAAAAGAATCCGTAAGGGAAAGCCGTAACGTCGAGAGCACAGAGAATCGGAAAGATTCTCGCGCGGAAACAGACGCTAAGAGTGCAACGTCTACACCAAGAAACACGCGCGTCCTTGGATCGGCAAGAAATGTAACTTCGACGACACCGTCGAAATCGATGCCAGTAATGACGATGTCGAGGAGAAGGATTAGACCACCTAAGACGCTTACGTCCGAATCAATCATCACACCTTTAAGAAAACGAAAACATTCCGAGAAGATTGAGGCTGAGGAAGAGAAAATAGAAGTCAGTAGTAGGAAAAGGACGCGAGAATCTCTAAGAGAAAAAGAAAAGGAAAAGGAAAAAGAGCGAGAAAGTGAACGAGAGCGCGAGAAAGAAAAGAATAAAGTAAGAGAGAGGGATAATAAAGCAAAAGAAAGAGAATCTCTGAAAGAAACTTTGGTGGACACTAGAAAAACGCCTCCTAAATTAGATTCTGTGTCGAGTCCACCTAAACTGGCAAAGAAACAATGCAAAGTGGATGATATTTTGTTGAAAGTTACCAGCAGACAAACTAAGTTGCAGGCAAAGGAAAAGAAAGCTCTGGAGGATGCGACGCAGTGTAATGGTAAAGAAGAAGTACGGGATATTAAGAACTCTTCATTATCTAGGCGGAGTAGAAGTAAAACGATGGAAGCTCTAAAGATGCCGCAACTCACGCCTGAATCTCCCAGCACGAAGAATAGAGCCGAAAGTCCTGTGATACCGCCACCTTCATTGTCTCCACCGCCTGAATCGATGAAGAGCTCTCCCGTTCGAGATAAACAGCCGTCTGTGCCAGAGTCACCGTCCACGAAGCACTCCGGTAACAGCGATAATAAGAGCGAGGAGAGCGCGGAGGACAATGGTTTGCCCATTCCCACGGAAACGGAAGTAGTATCCGCGAGTTCCGGCGAATATGAGGGCGGTGATGAGGATGAAGGAGAAGAGGAAGAGATAACCGCACCAACGCCTAAACCAGTGATGCAATTGGCCTCGCCCAGCACGGAGAACCCCGTGAAAGAATCGTGTGAGGAAGAGAAAGCGGATAACAAGATTCAGGAGAAAGACAACGACGAAAGTTCGTTACAGAAAGTGGAAGCAGCGGATCTATCACCAACGGTCGGCGACGATCAGACTGAAACTTTAAACGAATGTGATAAGGACTCCGAGATTGATAAGCGCCCAGTTTGCAGTCCGGAGGCATCGAAATCAGTACCTGAACCAGTTGTTTCACCAAAAGAGGAGGAAATCGAAAAATCGGAGAGCAGCATTATGCTGAAGAAGGATGACGATGATAGCAATAGCCCTCTTAAAGAGGAACTCGTTAGCGAAACGCCGAAGGATGTCAAGATTGATCTGTCGCGACCGAAAATGGAACCTTTACCCGTAGAGAAGAAAGACACATGCACTATCATCAACGCGATGGTGACATCGGAAGCCGAGCCTCTCACGCCGCAGGAGAAACCATTGCCCACAGTAGAACATCAGGATACAACCTTGCAATTACAAACTCAAACGGAGGAACTGAAACAGCATTCACCTGAGAGCGGTAAAACCACGCCACATCTTGAGAATCCGGGTTCAGTGAAGAGAACACCACCGTCGCAACCAGATTTGCCATCTATGGGAGTCTACACACCGGACTCGACGACTAATTCTGTGCACTCATTGCATTACAGCCAGTGCGATCTGGATGTGAGTCAATTGGGCCTGGAATCGCCCACTTCCATAGCCAGTGATCTTGCATCGCAAAATAGCGTGGAGAGACCTCCCAGTGCTTTACCGTCTATTCCGCCGCCTGCAAACGTACCGATCTCAGTCGCCATGCAGATTACAACGCCTGTTACGTCATCGGTGTCAGTGAATATGCCGCAGCAAGTGCAATACGCCGATTGCTCGATGCCGCAGCATACACCGCCGACCCATCATCCGAGCATCCATCCGATGCATCAACCACATACCCCGCAATCCCTCCAGCAACCACGTACTCCGCAGAGCATCCCGACTCAGAGCCCACAGCCACTTCCGCAGAGTCATACGCCGCAACCGATGCCACAATCGCACACGCCGCAAAGTATACCTACGCAGAGTCCGCAACCATTGCCACCAAGTCATACGCCTCAGCCGTTGCCCCAATCACATACGCCACAACCAATGCAGCTATCGTTGGCACAGCAAGCGCAGAGTCAAAGTATGGCGCACAGTCAATCTCAGTCTGCGCAGTCGCAACAGCAACAACAATCTACGCATCAGCAACAGCAACAGCCACAGCCTCAACAACAACAAACTCAATCTCATCAGTCACACAGCAAGCGCGCCAGCGGTTCACAGACCACACATAGATCCAGGTCGACACAACAGAGTAGTAGGTCACATCGAGTCACCCCACCGGCTCATACCACCCAGACTTCTCAGCACAGCGCTGCGACGTCGCAGACCAGTCACAGCAATGTGTCCGTGGCACACACGGCGCACATTGCGATGCCACCGCAATATCAGCAATCGCCGTCGTCGATGAGCGTACCACCGGCAGTACATCCGCATTCGCACACTCCGCACGCCGCGCATTCGCACAACATGGCAGTGATTTCGCAAGGCAATTACATGGCAGTAGCGGGTTCGCAGGGTTTCCCACAGAATACCTACGCTGTGATCCAACATCGCAGCGGCCGTTCCGGTGCGCCGACACCTTGCACCACCGCCACGAATTTCTACATACAAACAAACCCCCCGATGCCACCACATTCGCATACCCCGGCGCCGACTCCACTTTCCACTTCCGGTGGTAGTCATCAGACCACAAATTCGTGCAGTCTGGCGAAATTGCAACAGCTGACTAACGGTCTGGAGATGATACCGCCCACACCGCCACCGGCGATGAACCTCACGCCGCCGCCACCAATCCCACATACTATGACACCACCGCAGACATCGCGGCAGCTACCAACGCCACCTCAAGTTGGACCCTTGGGTTACGCAAAAAATTATTGTTACAATGTCAACACTGTGCCTCCCGGCACGCCCGGACCGCCTAGCCGATCCACCTCGCGTTCGTCCGCGAACAATATGCCATCACTCACGCAGCCGTATCCAAGCGAGAGTCTCTACCGACAGACCCTTGATCCGAGCGGTACCTGCCCACAGATGCAAAGTGCGGCGAGCCGCGTCAGCCCGAATGTTGCCCTCAACACGAATCTCATGGCAGCTGCCCAGTATAGTTACCGGGTAGCGCAACCAGCGACCGGTTATATGAATCAAGCAGCGCAGCTTGGCGGCTTTATGAACCAGGCGAGCCAGCTACCAGTCGGCGTGGTGAACGTACCAGCACCGTATCCGCAGGACCCGCATCAACAGAATCCGGCGGCTGTTTACACTACCTATCACGGTTACATCAATGGTGGTCTCATGCAACCCCTCAACAGTTCCATGAGGCCGCGCTAGCCACCGCGATTATTGCCTACTCCAATCGGCTCAATCTCTCTCGACGTTCGAACGGACGAACGAACTTCTTCGCGCGACAAGTTAATGCTCTCTTCGATACGATCATCGACAGCGATCCATCTTCGATCTTCTACTATGTGATTGACGCCGCAGGCTGTACTTCCCCGATCACTCGCTGCCTTCACCAGCTCTATCCGCGAACCAGACTTGTTCGAGTCTTCTCGTCACACTGATTCATTCGCGACAATCCTCTTTTCCGATCCAGGTTTCTCGACGGAGCCTCCGAAGATGATGGTGCTGCAATCGTTGCGATTGGCGAATACAAAGGGCATACATTGATAGCCGTAATGGACAGTGCAGGTCGCAAGATAACTCTGTGACACGCTTATAAGCAGAATCTACGTTCGGTAATCCGTTCGTCAAGCATACAATCTTATTTTAGTTCTTTATCGTGATTCAGCAGACTAGATTCGCGAATGACCGGTGTACCTAGTACAATCAAAATCGTTGCGCGAATGTATATACTTATTTACTGTTTTAACTGCACATTCAATTTCAGAAAAACAGGAGAAGAGAGAAGGGAGGATAATTAATATTGATATAACCCTTTTGTCTCTTTATTCACGCCCGTTGGCAGTGGGACGTTTCTCCTCTCCGTGCTCGAGGAAGTGCTCGTATTAAACTGATTCTTAACTTGTCGACAAAGATTGCACACAAGGTACAATTTAATCATAGTTATCGATGATTCTTCGAAGACACGAGTTCGCATACTTGTGCATTTTAAATAAAAAAAAAAAGAAAGGGAGATCAGACGTTATCTTGGACGGATTAATTTCGGTCAGCCAAGGTATTGCTCTTTCATTTCTAATTTGAAAGAAAGAAAAGTGGGGAGGGGGGGATAAAAGAAAAAAAAATGCGGTTACCTATTTTAGTAGGGCATTCCTTCGCGAACCGCAGCAGTGTTACGTTTTATGTATTTATATATATATATATTATAAATATATATAAATATATTTGCGAATAATATTCTGTTTGATATTATCAATTGTTAAACATTGTTATTTAAGTTGGCACACTTGTACTTTACTGTATCATAAAGAAGAAAAGATAACTGCGTAATGCTATGATAATCCTCATTGTATTATTACGGAAGTCGTTTAATTGCCGACATCGTCTCACCAGTGTAAAATCGTCAATCTCGATCGTCAGCGCCATCGTTTATATAATTTTTATCAATTGTTATCATTATTATTATCATTAATTATCATTACTATTGTGGGAGATGATGAAATATATACAAAACAGACTCACACAACACACACAACACACAACTTATAAAAAAACATATTCATACGTTATATTTTAATTGTCACATGTACGATGTCACACGCCTTCGTTCGGTATTCATTACTCTCTGTATGTTTTTATTATCTAATATCGCGAGAGGGTAGCTCTAGTTTCGGAAAAAATAACGGAGCGCGCAATCAGGCTCTTCCACGAAGCGTCGCAAGACTCGTGCCGAAATTATTTTTTGTATCGAAATCGCGAGAGAAAGCATACGTCGATTTCCCTTCGCGAAGTGAAGGAAAGAGGAAGGAGGTAGCGTGAAACACGTTACCCTGAAGATATTGCCCCGAATCGCGTAATTTCCCTCCCTCGTTGTGGGCGACGCTTCGCGGAACGGTCGTGACGACAAAAAAAATAATATATTTATGGTACGAAACGTTACGAGTTTAATTTTTTCAGACGAGAGAAGCGAAAAAAAACGAAAGAAAAACGGCAGATCGCCTAGCTTAGAGTAATTGAATGATAAGATAATTAATAATGTATAAAAATACATCAATATTTATTGTACATAGATCTAAAAAAGACTACTAACAAATAAAAAAGAAATCAAAAATACGTAATTGGGTCTTTGATTGTTTCCAGGTGCCACGTATGACGACATATTGCGTGTAAGATTACCTCCTTGCGCGAAATAGATCCTCTACAAGCTTTGTCCTGGACACTTCATCCTGGACATAGGAATGCGATCACATCTCTAGCTTGCATTTGAAGGATTCTGAGTAAAAGTGAAATAAGTCCATAATTTATGTGGTTTCTTGGGAGATATATAATGTTCTCTTAGATTTTACAAATTACATTTCTCTACTTTCTTATTAGATACATTGTTTGGATATATAATAATATTTTCTTAAACCTTATAATTTTATGGACTTAGTCCACGTTTATCTTAAACGGTTCACTTGCTTAGAGTTGATGCTAATTTATGCGTCATTACTCTTATTCATTACTCTTATTTCTTTTTCATGGATTACCTGCACGATCGTTTTCTCTTCCGTTTCCTCTCCTGACGTCGTTTCCTCTCCTGACGTCGTTTCTTCTCCTCGTTGGCAAGATCCACATATTTCTTTCTCTGTTCGGGAGTCATCCGGGACCACAATTTGCCCGCAGCTCGCGCTATCACGGTGACATGCTCATTCGGTTTTTTGCTGCGAAGTCGCAGAAAGAAAATGAGGAAAGGATTTGTCGGTCGAGAACCGACTTTGTACGTGTCCTTTTGGCCCTGTGAACTTTGGCTGGCGGCTTTATCGCATCCGTTCGCGGGTTGTCTACCTTTTCCGGTATCTGCGCTACGTGAAAGGCGAAACTGCAAAGTATGCTTTTGCGTGTCCCATTGATCTCGTAATAAGATAAATTCCACCTACTACATTCTATATTACAACATCAAAAGCAAACAATTCTTGCGCTTTTATATCCATACAAGTAATTATTAGTTGTAAGAAATAACTTTTTTTTTATAAAAACTAAATATAAATAAAAAAGAAAGGAATTTAAAGTCAGCAAAAAGTTTTTCCTATAGCTATAGATTGCAGAAAAATGATGTGCATATTTTTCTTCACTTTTGACGCTTTTTCAAAAATTTTAAATGAATATAAATGAGTGACTTAAACAAGCCTGTTCCAAGAACGAATCAAAAATAAAAAATGCTAAGTTATACGAGACCAATTCCATCATAAAGTAGAAATTATCTTACTCGCCCTCCTTTCGGTCTTTATGAGTCTTGAGAGGTTGCGCGCAGTTAGCGTTTCCCATTTCGGCTTCACCTTACGGAAGTGCTAGCGAATGTCTCAACAATTAGTGTTACTTGATAATTTATTATTTATTATTATTCACGCTGGTCCCGGCACGGTGATTTTGTCACGGCACGGGGACAATTGTCACATTGACATTTATATTAGAAAGACCGTCCATTGTTTTTTCAAAAGACAAACACGATTTTAGTGTTACTTGAATTGATACAAAAGGGAAATCATTCTTAATCCATTCAATTAGTTTAATATCGCATATATCTTATTCTCTATCTTCACTTTAACAAAATTCTAATTAGTAACAATTATTTTATAGTTATAACAGGAAACTAGCTCTCTTATATTTTTTGTAAAATTCGACATGTTTAATCTAAGGCTTACAAATTATGCTATGAAGAAAACGGGATTACAAAAATTCTGGCTTTTGTTAATAAATCCAAAATTTACAAATTTCTATTCTATTTAATACACTTTGTTGTATAAATATATCTTATTATTACTTTTATATTATATTATATGTGCAACGTTATAATTCTCCTCCGGCCTGCGCCGCTTTCTTCGATTTTTTATTTTTGCTCCACTTGTCAGGACAGTAACAAGCCTGTTTCTGGGCATCAAGGAAGCTCTTGCAACCCAACGCAATCGTTCCCGTGAAAAGAGCTTTGGCCGCGGCTTTACACGTGTTGACGATACTGATGGCGGTGGTTTGGTACGTGTCACAATATTTGTAGAGGCATCTTTTGAATTCGAGATCGCACTTCTCCTTATCCGTATTGCAAGTGTCGTAGCAAATATCATGAGCGTCGCAGCACTTTGTCATTTCAGCGAGTGGAAGGTATTCCTGGTTCACCTACAAATGTTTGTAATAATTTGAAATGCTTATACCCAAACAGAGCAACAGCCTAGTCAACACCAACTAACAGTAACATAAAATCCTAAATGAAGTAAGATTTGAATGCAATCTTCAAATTTCAAGTGTGATTTTTTTTCTGTTTGATACACATTCTTCATTACGCTCCATACAATTAGAGACGGTTTACCAAACTTGAATCTTGAAAATTGGATTTAAATTTTCTTTCGTTCAGAATTGTATCTCATTCTATATAATTTCACATTTAATAATATAGGGTGAGGCATCTAAAACAGGCCATCTGAATAATTTATTTTTAACAAGAAGGAAAAGTGCCAAACAAAAGTTGCACGATTTCAAGGGGAACGTATTTATATAAATGTAATATAATACATGTTTTATGCAATAATTATATTATCGTTGAGCGTGAAATTATAATTGCTGTTATATTACTATTTTGTGTTTACTAGAGGCCACGGTAATATCAAAATGACGTTAAAATGATTGATCAAAAAATAAATTTTAATAATTACTTTGATGTTTTGTATCTTGATTTTTTGTTTCTCTGCTTATTTCTTTGGTATGATTAATATAATTAAGAACATTGCAAGCCAACAGATACTGCAAAATGTATAGACTTCGAGTAACGTCGCAAAATTAAATTACAAACTCAACTAGATTAAATCACAAGCTCAACCACATTAAATTACAAGCGCTAACTACGTTGTAAATTTAATTGCCGACTTAGATTAGATGTAAATTATCGAGAAATTTATATATTAAACTATAAATACATGACGATGCACACTTATTCATGCAATTAATTGATAAAATGCAATAAAAATTTTATACATATAAAAACATTGCATATCGCTTATCTATCCTCTCTCGGGGAAACACACCAACCTGGATACCAAGGGACCCGCATCCATTACTTTGCGGTTTGTGATTCCAGTTTGCCTTCGGCATGGATCCTGAAAACGATTTGAATAATGCGCCATTGTTCAATCGCAACCGCTCGTCCAATCACAACACACCATGTCAGTCGTCGCGTTTCACATTTATGATTTGTGCATTCACGAGAAACAAAAAATTCTTTATTCATCGCAATTTTTTTCTCTCATAATCTCTACGATCGATACGGAAAGCGTAACAAAATGGCAAAAAGGATAATAATTTTTAGTAGCAAAATTATAGACGCAAAAATTAATGGGGCGACCTCAACTAATCTCTGATTATAACTTAATCATTGATTAACAAATTAATCAGCGATTAATTATCAAATAATATCTATATATTATTTTTTAATAGAATTTATGTTTTATTGCGCGACACACACACACACGCACGCACACGCACGCACACACATACCAAAGAACTGAAAAGGATACGGGCAATTGGAATCGAACGCAGATGTCGCGTAAATAATATGTATATGAAGTGATATATTATTATAAAAATAATATATCTAATAAAGAAGTTCACACTTCATAGATGTATTATTTGCGCGACGTCTTCTGCGTTTGACTCCTACTGCTCGTATCCTTTCCAGTTCTTTGATTTCTAAGAAGTATGGTTAGTTTGATTTGTAATATATATGTGTGTGTGTGTGTGTGTGTGTGTGTGTGTGTGTGTG